ACGTTTATTAAGCTTCGAAAAAGCAGTGTTTTTACATTTTTTTATTATATCTCGAAAAGTATAGGTGATAAATATATTAAGTCGACGGATAGTCGAATGGTTAAGTCGCACTTATCACAAGCTTGTGAGTGCTGGTTTTCTTCAGGTTTGACAGTGAGTTACGGCTAAATGGCAAACAATAAAACAATACAAGTACACACTCGTTTTGATATTTAGATGTAACTATAGTTGAAAACAATAGCTATCAACTTAAAGTTCAAAAACTAGATGAGTTAGAAATATGATTAATAAGAGGAGTTTCGAAAATATTAGTTTTGTATATGTTTACAAATCTGTTCTGTTCTGATTCCTCCACTCTATTATAGAGTGGAGGTGTGCAACTTAGCACACAACTGCACACCCTGCCAATTTATAAATATATAAGAAATGTATAAATAATAAAAATAACAAAAAATAAAATAATTCAACATTTATATAAACTTTTCACGAGCAGGGACCTATCAGCTCTTATCACAGTGTGGGAAGGCCTCGGATCGGTAAATAAAAAGTGTTAAAAAGATTAATAAGGGGTAACAAAATACAAAAATGAAACCATAGAATAAACACATTATAATAAATATTTAAACAACACATCCAGAGTTTTTAATAATTAAAATTTAAAATTAGTTTATATATCTTCCTATCCTTCATCTTTAACAGGACTTCTATAGAGGTTGGAAGTTGAATTTTCTGAGTGATTAGTCCACTTATGAGCACGTTTGTGGAAACACTGTTTCTTTCACATTAAAAAAAAATGTGATTTGCGGTGGATAACATCCCACAATCACAGTGCGGTGAATCCACCATATTCATTCTAAAAAGATGAGCTGCAGATCTGTTATGGCCCGTTCGTAATCTGCACATTTACTGTCATTTTTCCCTTTCTTCCTTGTTAATTATTTCACTGATATCCCAGAACGGAACGAGTTGGTCCGTGATATTGGCCATAAGACCCTCACTCACCAACGCATCCGCCCTTTCGTTCCCCGGGATTCCAGCATGTCCCAGTATCCAGCACAACGAAACTTCTGACCCAATGCTTTCCAAGAGACTCAACCTGTCTTTGATATGAAGAACAATATAATTTATTTTGGCTGAATATTGGAGAATTGAATAGCGTCTAAATAGAATCTAATAGCACTTTTAGAGTCAGAAAAAATCACACTCTTTCTCCATTCGTTTCTCTCAATTATTTTTAGTGTCCTGCAAATTGCATATAACTGTTTACAAATCAAAAAAAGATTTTCCACAATGGTCAATATTAAAACAAAGCAACAATCGACTCCGAATAGATTCTTGGATGAGTAAATACTTTAAATTTTTAAGGGGGCCGCGATTTAGTAGGTCATATGTTGGATGGACAGTCCTTTGGATTTTGAGGCTCCAGACATAAATATGAAATGGGGCCCTGAGTGAAACTTAAAAAAATGTGAGAGCGGGGGAAGCTGAAATCCCATTCTGATTTTGGGGGTATATGAGTTAATGTCATACGTGTCCTGAAGCTATAGTTGCAATCAACATCAATCAACTTCTCTTTAGAAGATAACTAGACGACGTATTAGAACTTTGCAAGACTGACTACCACTTAACGTCTTTCATCAGGCATATAGTATGAATGTTACAGTGCTAAAGTACACATGAGTTAATGATTGGAAGCGTCTCCTACAGTAGCAGTTGTAATATTAAAATTACAACAGTTCGGATGGGCATTTAACGTGAGGATCTCTTTGTGGCGTGCAATAATCGCGGCTGATTTAATGGTCGGAATCAGTTTATAATGCGAGCACGATTTCCCGGCCGATGTATCGATTCCATATATCATTACCTAGATTGCGGGTGCAACGTGCATCGAGCTCCACTGTGCATTATTCCCTCGTCAAATACATTATGATTGCTTACATTAAATACTATTTAATTGCACCCCGTATATGACACTTATCTGCGAACTGCCAACCCACCAAAACCCACCCTTCCAAAACCGACCCATCCATCCCTCGTTATTAATTGCTTATTATAACATCCCCCATTAGAGGCCCATTACCGTTTGCCCTGATTTTAATTACTCATATTGGACGGGATTTATGTGCATTCGATGCGCATTACCGTTCTCACTACTATTCTATTACAAAGCACTTTGTTTATCAACCAATCACCGACATCCATTCAAAACAACAACAACAAAAAAAAAAGATTACTATAATCCACCATATCTCTCTATCTATCTCACGCACCGTAAATCCAATTCTGTTTCACTCGTTATTATATCATCCGCATTATGTCATAGATGGGTTTAAATTAATAATATTCATTATTCATTGTTACGGCACGCATTTCCACTAATTACAATGTTTAACAACGTAAATAGTGTTTTAACAGAAATATGAAAACACGTACTTTTAAATACCAAACAAATGAGACTTTTTTTTCTATTTTCAACTCAAATTGATGAAAATTATCAATATTTTTTAATAAAAATTCTGAAAAAACTTGTTAATACTTATAATAATCATTAATTAATTAAATAATGAAATCTATTCTACAATTGAAAGATTTTTTTTTATTGAATTCAAGAATTTAATTAACAAGTAAATGTAACTTCTCAGATTAACAATTGCATTAAGTAAATTCATTCATAAATATATTTATTTAGAAATTAATTAAATTATTGCTTTTCTGACGACAATTTATTCAATTTGAGAATCGTATATGTATTTAGTTGTTTTGCTTGCATCAGGAAGTTCCAAAACGAAAATCACATGTACGTGCGTGTGTATGCAAGGAAAAAGTTTCCTAAGAAATTATTGGGACGTCAGAAATGTCTGCTCTGCGCGGATACAAAGAGTGCAGTCGAAAGTTTTCGCATAAGAAAAAGTAGTGAAACATTTCAAACTATACCGGAGCAAATTGAATTAAGCAAATATAAAAAATTGAACGCAACGCAAATCGAGAAATGCAATTTTCATTTTATTTTACATAATAATTCCTCTATTCTAACTTAACTTTACAAATTGAAAATCTATGTTTTTAATGATTATAAGCTAATTTCCACCACTTAATAATGCTTATCGACAAAGGATATTTTTCAATGTTATACTTAACAAAAATAACTTTATCAAGCAAATTGTATATTAATTACCTTTTTGTACGTTTTGAATGATCGTAATTATATAATCAATACTGCTTAATAATTAGTTATATATTTTGACCATATCATAACGAATTTCCCGTATACAAAACGAAAAATTTAACGATTTTAGTACCATTTTTTATTGTAAGCTATGAGCAGGAAATATTATATTAATCAAAAAAGTATAAAGCAATACCTAACATAGTGTGGCTACATCCCGGACTAATCGAGGAATTGAATAAAGCACATAAAATGAATTCTGTATAAAGGATTATTTTATATACTCATTTTTTAGAATTTTAAAACCGGACTGATCGAAGCCGTCCAATTACCATATTTATATCTAGCAGGATCTAAATTTAGTTTATCAAGATTAACCTCAGAATATTGTCAATAATTTTCATGAAATATCAAAAATTTTATTCTATTTTTTGACAACATTTAATTATATTTTATTAATGTTTTAATTTCTGTTAATATAATAGGAAATATATGTGACTAATTTACTAAACAAACAAAAATACATACATTTTTGGATCCAACCTATATTAAACATTGAATACGTGGCATTATAATTTTTGGTATAAAATATTCGAGTATTCCATTCGGAATTTCAACAATAGACACCGAAAACACGCGCATCACCAATGTTTTAATTAGTTCGGATTACGCAGGTCACTGCAGTATATTTAATTTGATATTTCAACGGTTGTATTTTTTTTCTGTTTGTTTATTTATTTATTTATTTCTGTATCCCTTTTCCATCTAAAGTGCAATTAATTTCGATATATTTATATTTATAAACAGATACGTTTTATTATTGCGCAACCGGAACGTTTTAATTAAAACAAAAAATATATATATTCTCGCATTCACTTTTAATGCGACTGCGGCGCGGAGTTCATGTTATATTTGATATTATTCCGTATTGAATAAATGTGTACGAAATGCAGCGGCGTGGCTATGCAAATAGGACTAAAGTTTTAATTAAAATAACGGTTTTCGTTTCAGTTCGATGTCGAAAACGCTGTCGTCGCTTGACTTGAGCTACAACCAATTAGACAGTGTACCATTCCAGGCTATGAAGGATTTGCGCAACTTGCAATGGCTGAATTTGCATGGGTATGTATCTTCTCCCTTCCCGTTCTTCTCTCATGGTATCATGATACGACTACAACTGTAGCTACTACCACCAGCGGAACTAGTTGTAGTAGTAGAATATACGGGTACACCTCTGCTGTGTGTACAGCCTACGTACATCCCTTTCTTCCTCGTGCATGTTACAATGTTATTTATAATTGGTCCTTGTATAATTAAAGGATCCTCAGTGCTCTAATTTAATACACCCTAATATTTGTTGATTACATACAGAGATGGAGGCTCTCCGAACAGAAAGAGAGACGTGTAGCTGCAGACAATCCTGGAATTAGATTTTGGGCTTTCAGCGTTTGCATTACCATCCACGTTTGCGGACACGGCTTTCTTTCTGTACCAAACATAATCTAATGCTGCATCCGCACTATGCATAATATATAACCACTTCTTTTTTACTTTTCTTTCAACCCTCCAATTGATGTTTGTTATTCAATCACAACAATATAAATTCGATAGTAACATACATTTATTTTTAACTTTCAGTTTTCTTCATATTTTTCAAATTAACAATTTCGTTTATAAATTAGTTTACGTAAATTACGTAATAAAGAATGTCCCAAAAGTAACGGAAGATTTGAATTAATAGTTAACAGTTTTTCGTCTTCAGATTATGATTGTGATAAAAACTGTGTTTTCTATTGAATTCAAATCTCGCGTTAATTTTGGGACACCCTTTATAATACAAACCATATTTTTTTTCAATTTATTAAATTTTATCACGAACAACAGCAATAGCTCGCAGTTTAAAATTTTCAAAACAAACTAAATTTCCAAAAAAAATACAAAAAACAACAACGACAAAAAACAAAGAAAGTAACGAAGGCTTTATAATATCTAAACAGTATAAAGTTTTCCGTTTAATTAAATATAAATTCAATAGTAACATACATTTATTTTTAACTTTCAGTTGTTTTCCTTCTTATTTTTCAAATTAACAATTTCGTTTATAAATTAGTTTACATTATTATAATAAAGAGTGTTCCAAAAGTAACGGAAGATTTGAATTAAATAGAAAAAAGAGTTTTTCGTCTTTGTCTTCTGTGTTTTCTATTGAATTCAAATCTTGCGTTAATTTTGGGACACCCTTTATAATACAAACCATATTTTTTTTTTTCAATTTATTAAATTTTATCACTAACTACACCAATAGCTCGCATAGTGCGGCTTCGATCAGTGCGGATTCACAGATATAGTACAGTTTAAAATTTTCAAAACAAACTAAGTTTTATTAAAGAAAAATACAATTTAATTACAGCGTATTTTTCAAAAAAAAAAATACAAAAAACAACAACGACAAAAAACAAAGAAAGTAAGGCTTTGTAATATCGGAACAGCACAAAGTTTTCCGTTTAATTTTCGTTCATCCAGTGTACACTCTCTCACGGCAAATAGTACTTCGAGGACTGCACTTAATCCTATGTAAATTTTAGGAAACTTTATATTTTAAGAGGATCAAAATAATTGCATTTACTAGCTACACATTTATAATGAAAGGAAAATAATATTTGTATATTAAATATTCGCGCAAAGCAAAGCAAGCCTGTATATACATATATTTTTTTAATTTCTTTACACTTGAACTGCAATGCACATTGTTTTGTTTTTCAATTGTATATAAAGTTACTGCATTTACATTCCCATTGTACTCCTCAACTATTAACATTCCAACAATGCACTACTGCTTAAACCCTAATTGCAAATGTTACACAAACTGTTTACTCTTGTTGTTTATATTCCAACATTAATAATATTTAAAGGAAAGAATAAAACATTTTTATAGGTGCAATTGAAAATTATAATTGTTTCTAAACATTAGTTATTAAAATATTATTTATTTTCCATGTCTTGCACATACTAAGATAATAAATAACATTTCTCTTAAATATTGTAATTTAGTTTGTGCTTGGGTAAATGTTTTGTTTATATTAATTCATAATGTTTGTAGTGATATAATTATTTATTTTCTTTGTTTAACTTAGATTTAAATAGTAAATTTATAATTAAGTCCTTCGTAACTGTGAGCTATGATTTAAATTATTGATTGAGTTGCTTTCGTATAAAAATATTAAAATTTACATTGAAAATGAATTGGATTGCGGAAAATGGTAGAGCGAGAATGTATATGTAATGGATTTTATATGTGTGTGGTATGGAGTAGGTAGTTATATAAAGTGTGTTTTGGTATTTGATTTCAGGAATGAAATTCATTCGATTGTGGGGGATTGGTCGCATATGAAAACGAATATAGTGAACCTGTTCCTGGGAGAGAACGACATTGCCGAAGTGCCTTCGGAGGGTGGAGGAGAGCATTCTGGCAAATTGCACCACGGCCTTCGGCAATTCAAGTCGCTGATTTGGTTGAACCTGGACGGAAACCGAATATCCAGAGTGCACAGGCACTCTCTGCCGATGAGCCTGCAGACCGTCAGTCTGTCGCACAATCTCATCGAGAGTTTTCCGATCGATGTGATTTCCACGTCTCCGCACTTGCAGTGGCTGTATTTGCGCGGCAATCACATCCGTTCCTTCCCCGCCGAGCACACCTTCCCGCGAAAACTCTGGCTCGAGAAAATTGATTTGGGCGAGAACTACTTGCGAACTTTGCCCAAACTGCCGTTCAACAACTCCGTCTACATCCGAGACCTGAATCTGGCCTTCAACGACATCCGTACGATCTCATCGGACAGCTTCAACGGGCTGCAGTGCGGCAGGATAATCGTCTCGCACAACCAGCTCGAAAATGTCGAACCGAAAGCCTTCAACGGCATCGAAACGACACTCGAATACCTGGACTTCGATCACAACAACTTCATACACGTGCCGCATGCCCTCAGCCAACTCAAATCGCTGAAGTATCTGTACCTATCCTCGAACTCCCTCACCGAAATACCGCCGACTATCTTTGAGAGTTTCTGCGAATCGCTGAAAGCAGTCAGCTTCAGCGGCAACAACCTCAACAAGATACCGAAAGAAGCGCTCGTCAACTGCACGAAAATATCTCACTTCAACATCGCCTACAACGAAATCTACGAGATCAGCGAAGACGACTTTACCGATTGGGGTTACAATATTAAGAGCCTCATCATGGGCAACAATCATATAACGAGTCTGAAGCCGCAGATTTTCGCGGAGCTTTCCGAGCTTCGAGAGCTGAGTCTCAGCTTCAACCCGTTACGGTACATCGATCCGGAAGCGTTTATAGGTTTGGATTATCTAGAGAGTCTGGAGATGTCTTTCGGCATCGAAATCGGTGAACTACCGTATGAAATTTTCAAACCGATTCCCAACCTCCAATGGCTTTCAATCGATAACAATAATTTCTTCTCGCTGCCCGAGGAGGCGTTCGACTATCTGCCAGAGCTCAAGTACATCAATCTCGAATCGAACAAGCTGAACGGCATCCACGTTAATCTGCTGAAGAGCAAGATCCACACGAAACTGCGCGACGCCCGTTTCTCGAACAACGAGATCGGTTTGATCGGATCTCACACGTTCCACGGTTTGGCCAGTTTGGAGACCGTTCTGCTTGCCACGAATCGCATCAAGGGGATCGCCAGGAACGGCTTTAGCGACCTGCCCAATTTGCAGAAATTGATTCTGTCCGATAATCAGATCAGCAGCATCAGTGTGCACGCGTTCACTAATTTGCCCAATTTGGGTAAACTTGATTTGCAGAATAATCAGCTCGTCGAGTTCTCGTTCAAAATATTCGCAAACATTTCCAATCCTCTACACTTGAATTTGAGCAGGAATCAGATAATGCGATGCGACGCGGACAACAAGATATTGAATATCGAAATTTTAGATTTACGTTATAACAGCATCGATGCTATACCGAAATGCTTTGAAAACATATCGATGTTGAGAAAACTTTACCTAGATTTCAATACCATCACTGTACTCGAACAAAATACGTTCATGCATTTAACTTCGCTAGAGCAGCTAACGCTTCAGCAGAACGATATTAGGAACATCAACAGAAGAGCCTTCTCCGGTCTACAAAACTTACAAACATTAGATTTGTCGAGCAACCGCATTACGCAGTTGCACAACCTCTTATTCTCGAAAATGCCTAGATTGCGTATACTGAACTTGAGCAACAACAACATCAATTATCTATCCAAAGAAATATTCAGCAACACAGTACTTGAAATGTTAGATCTAAGCTCCAATTCTTTCGCAGTTATTCCCAGCTTGAGTTTATCGGAAGTGGGATTAACGTTAAGGCATTTAAACATACGTTTCAACAACATCGAGCACATCGACAGCACCACCTTTCCCGATATTCCCTACTTACAGTTCCTCGATCTGGGCAACAATAAATTAACTATTTTACCCGACAACGTATTCACCAGTCTCGGGATGCTTCAAAAATTGGATTTAAGTTACAACAACATTAGAGCTAACTACAAGGAGCTATTCCATTACGCTCAAAATTTAAAAGAGTTGCGCCTATCGCACTGTGGCATTACAACAACCCCAAGCCTTCCTCTACCAAATTTGGTCTACTTAAATTTATCTAACAACAACATCGATAACATGAACAGAAACACCGTTCAAGATCTGCTGAGACTCAAGCATCTCGATTTGAGCAATAATAAAGTTGTGCAAATACCTTCGCACCTTTGGAATCATTTACCGCATCTGAAATCTTTGGATCTATCAAACAATCCTATAAAGGTAATAACATAAACTTGAATCGATGATATATATATTTAATTTAATATTATTTCAGGAACTTGTCGCTGAGACCTTTCAAGGTTTGAAGAATTTACAGATCCTTAACATTCAGGGTTTAAGTAAATTGCAGAAGTTCGATGCGAAGGCGCTCACGCACATCAAGATTTTGCACACGCTGGCCTTACAAACGTGGCCTAAAATAGAGAATTTCAAGGCCCAGCTGTGCGCCTTGCTAGCAAACGCCAATCAAATACGAATCCTTAAGCTGCACGTCGAAGATCCTATACTTGACGATCAGCTGATTTGCATTTCGAATAGGAAAATCCGACAGCTCGAGATTACTGGAAAGAATTTGAAGAGCGTCGATAGGGATGCCTTCCAGAAGTTCTCGAAGAATCCCGATTTAGTATTAAAAATCACGGGAACGGAAATTGAGGAATTACCGGCTGGATTGTTCGCAAACATGTACAAAATCTCGTATCTGAACATCGATCTGAGGAATAACATGCTTTCTTATTTGAGTCCTGAGATTTTCTATGGTAACGTTACTACTTGGAAGAACGCCGGAACAACTTTGATTTCAGGTTATTAAATTTTAGTGAATTTTCAAAATTTGAATTTTGGTAATATTTGATGTTTTTCAGGTGGTTTAACCATTTCTCATAATCCTTTCAAATGCGGATGTCATCTGGCTTGGTTGGGACACTGGTTGAGACGGTGGATGCGCGAGAGCCTCCAATCCCATGACGCCCCCGTAGAGACATCGATGAGGATGAACGATCTGGTGAAGGAAGCCACCTGCACGGATTCCACCAAAGGTGTAACGATACCAATAGTACAACTTCCTCCAGAAGATATGAGTTGCCATGCGAGCGCCCTCAGCACGGCGCCTAATTCAAACAATATCTCTGTGATCTACATAGTTTGTTTTTTGATATTCAATTTTATAAGTCGTTAATCTGTAAGGAATCTTCCTAATTCATCATACATTTTTATTGATTGAGTTGTTGATGGGAATGTACAGTTGTTGTTTTTTTTTAAAAAACGATTAACCCCTTTTTGCTTTTTGAGTTCGTTCTTTACAACATCGTTTGATTTTTTTGTATAAAACTATTATTAAAGTGTTGTATATACTAAACCTAATAATAACATTTGTAAATATGAATAAATAATAAATGATACATATCATGCCCCCGTTAGTTGTAGATGTAAACTTAATCAATTGCTCAAACGTGGAGTCAATCAAATGTGCACAGTTTATTTTATCCTTCTTTTTTCTATTCTTTTCTCGTACTTTCAGATTTTCTTTTAGTTTCATTGATAATCATCAGCGTAGATTCTTACGGAAGTGGAAAAATAATTAATGGAAGTAAACGAAGCAAATCGAGAAATAAACCAAAAAAAGATATAATTAAACAAATAAAAGAAAACAAGGAAAAAAAAACTTTTGTAAATGGATATCGAAATATATTATTGTTATTTAAACATCGTTAGTTTTTATTCCAGATGCAAATTATAAAACTGCATAAGTCCTGACAGCAATAAAAAAATCATTTTTTATTATTAAATAATCAAATTATTTTAACTAACTACAAACACATTTTTTTTTTTGCAATCCTAACAAAATAATTTAATTCCTTATATAAATTTTTCGTATTTTACTTTAGAGATTCTATACATTTAATATATTTGAGAACAATAATGATTTTATATAGTAAAAAATAATAATCATATTCTAATAATAATAAACACAACATGAAAACAAATATTATGAAAAATATATATAGATATGAGTTAAATTTAATTAAAAATAAAATATCACTGCTTCTGTAATCAAATAAGCAATAATTAATTTAAAAAAAACAAGATTTTTGTAAAATGATGTGGTAAGTATTTGAAGTATGCAACCAAACTTATAGTTTAATAGAATTTACTTTAAAAATTTAATAATTGATTGAAAATCCTTAGATCATACTGAATTAATTATAATATATCATAAGATTTTCAACTTTTTATCATTATTGACTGAAATAATTTAAAGATAAATTTAAAACAATGATTTAATAAACTATTTAATGCAAAATAACAAAAGCTGATTTTTTTTCTTGATAATTTAAATAATTGATTATTAATTGTACTAAATATTAATATTTTTTTATGAATTTTGGGCAAATAGGTTTTGTGAACAAAAACTTTCGACTGGGAGCGTAGCGCACTCCTGTAATCCTTGTGATTGGGAGGTCGGGTTTAGAGGATGGTTTGAGGTCGGGAGTCCTGGTGCAGGGTGTTCCAACGTTGACTAGGTGTCCACACTAAGCTCGGCGTCGATATGGGCACCCGGAGGAGTCCGGGGTGGCCAGGTTGGCTAAGGAGAGGCGAACCGGGCCAGGGGAGAAATCCAGCAGCCAAAAGTCTCCGCGTTGTGCAGTAGTGGGATCGCGCCCGGGAGTTGGAGCCCTGAACAGCCTGACCAATACAACCAGACCTAATCCTTTTATCAAACCTATAACAACTATAAACCTAAATTATTATATCATTTTGTTACTTCTTCATTTCATAATGATGTAATAACATGTTTGTTCTTCTTCTTCTTCTTCCTTCCTCTCCACACTTCACTTGGCTTGCGCGTCTTGCACAATTTCGCCAGCCACGGTTTTTATTAATTTGAGATTACTTTACACTGGTGTAAGTTACTGGAGTCAGGGGGAAAAACATGTTTGTTAAATAATACCTTAGGAATATTTTACTATAGGCAACCCAAGAAGCAGTTGAATTAGTTTTAAAACGACATTTTATTTAAGATGAATAAGTCATGATACAATTATATAATGACAACCCTTGTTAATTGACAAACATTAACATATCATTATTATCTTATTGAAATAGTAGATATTCGTATGATGCATTAAATGATTCTTGACTATTTTGAATAGCAGGTGCAGTTTCTAAGGTAAGTTGACCAGGAGAATAAACAGGACTGCACCAGGAGTGGGGAGTCACAGGATACGGCAAAATTGTAATCATTTTTTTTACGATAAATCAGTTGGTATGAGCATTTAGAACCTGAAAGAAGAAGATATTTCGTCCGAAATCGGTTGAATACGGAACCATTGTAACCGTTTCAAATATTTACTTTCGGATAATAAAACTTTCAAAACTTGTATATTGTCTCATTTTGTCCATTTCTATTTCGCCATTGTGAAGTGAACACAAAAACACAAGCAAGTAAGTAACATTTCCACAATTATTCTTTATATTTATGTATGTCTAAGTACAATTCAATTAATGTATGTTGTATAATAGGATGGTTTTTTATTGTTGCGTCCAAGGATGTGATATTGAAAGCGGCTATGGTATTCCAATGAGATCATTTCCTCCGGTTGATTCTCCATTGTTCGAACAATGGAAAATTGCTACGAGGAATAATTCATTGAAAAATAGGAATAATCATGTTATAAGGAAAACAAGGAGGGTTTGTAATCTTCATTTCACTGAAAAGTACAGAAGAAAACCTTGCTTTTTACAATACGATTTTCCGATGTTGACGGAAAATATTTTGGAAGTAGTAGAGGATGAACAACAAATTGATATTGTTAACGATAGTAACAGCATTATTAGTGATAAATTTTATAATTTGGATCACTCCTATTGTAAACCATATGAAGTTGAGTCTGAAAGAACTGTTGATAGTGATAGAGCAGTCAACATCAATCTCATTAATTTAGATCGCTCTTATTGTAAACCAGTAGTGGTTGTATCTGAAGTGTTAGGTATTGTTGAAGACAGTGATACATCTGTTAACAACAATCTCATTAATGTAGATCACTCTTATTGTAAAACTGTAGGGGTTGTATCTGAAGAGATTGTTGTCGACAGTGATACAACTAGTGATAACAATCTTATTAATTTAGATGACTCTTATTGTGGACCAGTAGATGTTGTATCTGAAGAGATTGTTGTTGACAATGATAGCCAAAAATTTAAAATATTCATTGAATGATGAGGACTTCATAGAGTTGGGAGGATGTTAAAACTGCTTATTTCATTAATGTTTCAAGAAGTAGAAGATCAATGAAAAAAGTTACAGTTAGACATGTAATTCCTGGACAAATTCCTAAGATGAAGGTCTCGAATGCTGTGCAAGTGTTCAGCCATACAGTAGGTGCAATTACAGAACTAATGATAGAATGCAACCTATCTTGCCCAAATGGTAAATTTTTACACCGTAATCGAAGGGTGCAGCAGTACAATGCAATTATTTAAATAAACTAATTGATAGTTTAAATGTTGACATAGTACAAATTATGTACTGGATTGTGTTCTAAATAAAAGTTCATGAAACTTATTTGCAAACTTTAAATCGCATTTTAGATCACAAAACAGAAATTATTGATAACTAAGATAGGTTACAACAAAGTGTATTAGAATATGCAAGAAAGCATAAATTACTGAACACTTGCACATGTACTATCATGAACAATATTAATTTGCAAATGACCTTTTAAGAAGCATGTGGACAACACTGGAAAGGTAACTAATCAATTAATCAATTACTCAATTTAAATTACTATTAATTAATGTTTTCGCTTTAGATTGGATGGATCATACACAAGTAATAATGAACTATCTATGAGGAGGGAGTATGTGGACCACACTGGAAAGGTAACTAATCAATTACTGAATACATTTAAATTACTATTAATTAATGTTTTCGTTTTAGATTGAATGGATCATACACGAGTAAACGAGAATAATCTATGACCATTGTCTGGATGTAGAGCATTTTTGAAGTTATCAATTATTATATAGGAATATTCGCGAGCGAGCGAGCAATTAATTAACCAGCAACTGAAGGTCCCCTGGACCGCACTAAAGAAGAGGTTGGAAGAGGTCCTCAATCAGATCAGAATGCACTCTTCCCCCGCTCTACTTATATTTATCCATAATGGATAGTCACAATATATTTCTTATTTTATTTACTGAGGGCCCCAGTCTCTATTTATGCCTGGTACTTCATATTCCAAAGGACTTTGATACTTGTGTAGTATCTTTTTATTAGATCAATTTTATTTTAAAAATGTTCCATGTTTATAAGAAAAAAATATAGTTTTTATCTGGTTCAATTCTTGCTTTTCATATTACAGTAGATATAAGATTTATTTATAAACAATGAAATTTATATGATGTAACTTTGTGATTATGTTCTTTCTTCCATTATATAATACATATGAATTGAAATGAAATTTCCATAACAAACAAGAATGTAAATAAAGTATGTAACTTCTTTCAGTAAGTTTCAGACTGAAGAAGATAAGTTATATA